CTTCTGATTTCCTTGATTACAGAAGGATGTAAATGTGTTGAAGGCAATGGAGAAAAGGTTTACTAGATTGGTACCTGGATTGAACAGGTTGTCTTGTGAGGTTGGATAGATTGGATTTATTTCCAGTGGAGTTTAGAAGAGGGAGGGGTGACTTGACTGAAGTGTATAAGATGGTCACGACAAGGGGAACGTGTAAAAGATACTTCTTCTTGTGGGCCAGACCGTAATCATGGGTACTTTTTTTAAAATGAAGGGTTCCCTTTCAGAATAGAGAAGAGGAGTTTATTTTTAACTCTCATGTCATTGTGTGAGTTTGGAACTCTCTGCATCAAAAGACAATGGAGTAATGGCCAATTAATATTTTCAAGAGAAAGTTGGATGGAATCTTGCTCAGCAGCAGAATCAGGTGTTACTGGAGTTTGACGAGAATGTGGAATTCTAAACATAAACCAATCAATTATGATTTTATTGATTGGCAGAGCAGGCTTAGGGGGCTGAATGATCTGTTTCAGTTCCTATTTTGTATGCTTGTGCAATATTTTAATAACATCTGCAGTCTGGTCTTCTGTGCTGCTTACAGTTGAGCCATCCCTTACCCCTGGCATACCCACAGTCCACTGATCCCTGATGAGCCACCATGCACTGATCTTGATTCTGCACTAACCTTTTGGTTTGAGCTGGTCAGTGTAAATGTCTGAGTGGCCTTCTTCATTGCTGCTGCATGCTGTGCTTCTCTCTTTTCCTCCTTGTAGGAAGTAGCTCAGCAGGTGGAATTCTTGAGTATCTAAAATCAGGAAATCAGAGAGGTCAGTTCTGTGAGCTGGAATGGATGGGAAACAAAAGCTACACAATAAGGTGCTTGGTCATCATACCAAGTGGTGAGTGAGGGTGAGTTGAGAGTTGACCAAGGGAAATAAAGCTGCAACATTTCATCGTCCTCAATGTTCTCAGTGACTCCAGATGCCACAGGTTCCTTGGCAATCAGTACCAGGATGTGGGCAGTCATCTGGTCTTTGGGCTCAGGAGAAACAGGCATCCTGATTCCCAGATATGGAGGCAGCACAAAGTGAATGTGAGGTTGGTACCATTGGTTAGTACATGAGGGTGAGCTGATATGTCCAGAGGCTAGCATGCATCCTAATTGCCAGTGAGTGCACTAGGGTGAGTGGTGTGACTCTAGTGCATTGAGCAATGAGAGTCTGTTAGTGCAGTGAGTAGGGGATGTCTGTAAAGATGCTTTCACTGCTGTTGAATACAAGATTATTGAACTTCTGTGGCAGAGATGCCAGGTCCTCGGTTCTAGATTCCCTTGGTCAATTTCCCGGATTGTTTGCTCCCGCTCCCTTCTGAGAATTGTCTTTTTGGTTCTCCTGGGCCTTCTGAAAAATCATGGCCTCAAAGACTAATGTAATAAGTTTAATATTCTTATACATAAGACATTCGGTAGATTTTTGATATTAAACACAGAAAAGTGAAAGCTTTAAATCATGCAAGATGGATATTGTAATCATTTGGTGACTGAGTGAGTGATCCATCGAGTGGTTCCAATATAAGAGGAAAGGAAAGTGAATGTGCATACTTTTGGAAAACTTCATTTTTGTCTTAGTGCTAAGAATAGTTACCAGTAATTCTCATTGTATTTGCATAATGTGGCTGAAGTTAAGGCAAGGTTGTACAAAAATGTTCACATCTGACCAGCAAAAGGTAGCAACACGGGCATGGGAGAATAGACCGACAAACGTAATGAGGTTTTATTACTGATATCTGTGCTGCATTTTCGTAGAATATGTGCTGTGGTGAGGTCCAGGACCTGCAATTTTTTTGGCTGACATTTATCAGTCACTAGTAAATGTTTGCAAAGTATGTTTCTCCACAATTCGTGGGCAAGTTCATGAAAAATTATTTCAGTTGTTTCATGATTATGCAACACATATTTAAAAAATAAAGTTCAGACAATCCATTTCAAACAGGCTGTTTGATCCCCCGTGCATATTATTCAATCTGCTTAATTTTTATTCCATTGACTGATTTCTAATATAACAGACAAACTATCTGCTACACCAATTACCACCCAGGTGGCAAAGTTGAAACTTGTCAATGTTAGTGTTTAATTGCTGGGTTCAAGACAATTCCACCGGGTCATTTTTAGGTCACAAAATATTTCCATAATCAAGTTACTCAATTAGAACATAAGAACATAAGAACTAGGAGCAGGAGTAGGCCGTCTGGTCCTTCAAGCCTGCTCCGCCATTCAATAAGATCATGGCTGATCTTTTCGTGGACTCAGATCCACCTACCGCGTTCTCACCGTATCCCTTAATTCCTTTATTGTTCAAAAAAAATCGACTTTTTTTTAAAAACATTTACTGAAGTAGCGTCAACTACTTCACTGGGCAAGGAATTCCATAGATTAACAACTCTCTGGGTGAAGAAATTCCTTCTCAGTTCAGTCCTAAATCTGCTCCCTCTAATCTTGAGGCTATGCCCTCTTGTCCTAGCTTCACCTGCCAGTGGAAACATCCTCTCTACTTCTATGTTATCTATTCCCTTCATAATTTTATATGTTTCTATAAGATCCCCCCTCAATCTTCTGAATTCCAATGAATATAATCCCAATCTACACAGTCTCTCCTCAGAAGCCAACCCCCTCAACTCCGGAATCACCCTAGTGAACCTCCTTTGCACCCCCTCCAGTGCCAATACATCCTTTCTCAAGTAAGGAGACCAAAACTGCACACAGTACTCCAGGTGTGGCCTCACCAGCACCTGGTACAGCTGCAACATAACCTCTCTGCTTTTAATTTCAATCCCTTTAGCAATGAAGGACAAAATTCCATTTGCCTTCCTAATTACTTGTTGTACCTGCAGACCTATCTTCTGTGATTCATGCACAAGGACACCCAGGTCCCTCTGCATAGCAGCATGCTGCAATTTTTTACCATTCAAGTAATAATCCTTTTTACTATTACACCTACCAAAATGTATGACTTCACATTTATTTACATTGTATTCCATCTGCCAGACCTTTGCCCACTCACTCAATGTATCTATGTTCCTCTGCAAAGTTTCACAGTCCTCTGCACAGTTTGCTTTGCCACTCATCTTAGTGTCATCTGCAAACTTTGACACCCTACACGTGGTCCCCAACTCCAAATCATCTATATAAATTGTAAATAATTGCGGTCCCAACACCGATCCCTGAGGCACACCACTAGTCACTGACTGCCAGCTAGAATAGCACTCATTTATCCCCACTCTTTGCTTCCTGTTAGTCAACCAATCCTCTATCCATGCTAATACTTTACCCTTAATGCCATGCATCTTTATCTTATGCAGTAGCCTCTCATGCGGCACCTTGTCAAAGGCCTTTTGGAAATCTAGGTACACCACATCCACTGGGTCCCCATTGTCCACCTCGCTCATAATGTCTTCATAGAATTCCAAAAGATTTGTCAAGCATGACCTGCCCTTCATGAACCCATGCTGCGTCTGCCCAATGGGACAATTTCTATCAAGATGCCTTGCTATTTCTTCCTTGATAATAGACTCAAGCATCTTCCCCACTACAGAGGTTAAGCTAACCGGTCTATAATTCCCCATCTTTTGTCTACTTCCCTTTTTAAACAGTGGCGTCACATTTGCTGTTTTCCAATCTGCTGGGACTGCCCCAGAGTCCAGCAAATTTTGGAAAATTACCGCCAGTGCACCTGCTATTTCTCCCGCCATCTCTTTTAATACCCTGGGATGCATTTCATCAGGGCCAGGAGACTTATCAATCCTTAGCTCCATTAGCTTGCCCAAGACTACCTCTTCCGTATTTATGATTGTTTCCAGGTCCTCACCTACCTTCGTCTCTTTGTCAATTACTAGCATGTTATTAGTGTCCTCCACTGTGAAGACCGATACAAAACACCTGTTCAATGCCTCGGCCATTTCATCATATCCCGTAACTAAATTCCCCTTCCCATGCTCTAAAGGGCCAACGTTTACTTTAGCCACTCTTTTTCGTTTTATATATTTATAGAAACTTTTCCTATCTGTCTTTATATTCTGTGCTAGTTTTTTCTCATGTTGTATCTTACTTTTCATTATAGCTCTTTTTGTGGCTTTCTGTTGACCTTTAAAGTTTTCCCAGTCTTCTAGTTTCATGCTGTTTTTGGCCACTTTGTATGCCTTCTCTTTCAATTTGATAGCCTCCCTTATTTCTTTAGACACCCATGGCAGATTACCCCTTTTCTTACAGTCCTTCCTTTTTATTGGAATATACTTTTGCTGAGCACTTTGAAAGATTGCTTTGAAAGTCCTCCACTGCTCGTCAACTGTCCCACCATAAAACCTTTGTTTCCAGTTTACTTTAGCCAAGTCCTCCCTCATCCTATTGTAGTTCCCCTTGTTCAAGCACAGGACCCTGGTATTGGATTTTATCTTCACACTCTCCATCTGTATTCTAAATTCAACCATACTGTGATCACTCCTTCCAAGAGGATCCCTAACTATGAGGTCATTAATTATTCCTGTCTCATTACACAGGACCAGATCTAGGATAGCTTGCTCCCGCGTTGGTTCCATTACATACTGTTCAAGAAAACTATCACGGATACACTCAATGAACAATTGCCAATTAAATTCCACATTGTTAAAGACTTTAAGATGATTTTACTATACGTTTAGTCAAAAACACTCTGCGATGCAAGGGGACATAAAAGGGAATAAAATTTAACTGAACTATTTGAAAGGTTTTGAATACTGTAGGTAATGTCAATTTCAATTTGTAGAAACCATCAGCATTTCAATATGAAAAGCAACTTTCAGAAAAATGAGAGACAACAAGGTGCAGGGCTGGATGAACACAGCAGGCCCTGCACCTTCTTGTCTCGGATTCTCCAGCATCTGCAGTTCCTACTATCTCTGATTCAGAAAAATGAGCATTTTTTATTAAAACTTCCTTCACTCCTGATGATATTTCACATTTTATTCACTTTCCTGTTCTCCATTGCCAGGTGTTTCTTAAATATTATCATGTGGAACAACTGAATCTCATCAAGAAAGAAATCACAGATCGTATAGTGCTGGTACAGGCCTATGTGAAAGCCTGGCTTGGAGCTAAAAGGTACAGAAGGATACAAGAGAAGAGGCAACAGAGTGCTGTTGCCATTCAGTCAGGTAAACCTCCATCTTTGACCATGCTACCATCGTTCAGAATACCATCAACCTAGCTTAGTTTAGGTGATCAGATATTGCAAAGATTATAAAGAGCCTAAGCAATAACTGTAGGGAAATGAAAGCAAAGCCCTGCAGATGCTGGAGATCTGAAATAAGAACAAAAAGTGCTGGAGAAACTCAGCAGTTCTGGCAGCATCTGTGAAGGAGGAAACAGTGTAAATGTATCAATTCCAATGATTTCGGAACTCAAGTCTCAATAAGTGCCCAAGAAGAGTCGTATCAGACTCAAAATGCCAACTCTATTTCTTTCTTGACAGATTACTGCCAGACCTGCTGAGTTTCTCAAAACTTTGTGTTTTTATACAATTTTCAATTCTGTAACATCTAGTTTGAATAGTCATGGATAATTAAACACATAATGGGAGGAGGAGACTCATTGATAGATTGCGTTTTTTTAAACAAATCTCTCTCCCTATTCTTGCCACTTGCCCAAACAGATTAATAGTTTAGTTTCTCCCAGTTTTTCTAAGCCGTGGAGGTATAACTCCCCCATTCCCTCTTCCAGTGAAGTCTGACTTTGCAAGGACTGCATCAAAACAGTAGTTAAAAGAAAAACAGAGGAAGGAGGTTTTGGCTATTGAGGGAGTGCAAAGTTTTACCAAATTGACTCCTGGGTTGGTGGGATTAACGTACAGGGAGAGACTGAATTTGTTAGGTCTATATTCATGTTAGTTTAGAAGGATATGGGGTGATCTCATAGAAAACTATAAAATACTAACAGGACCAGACAGAGTGGATGCAGGAAAGATGTTTTCGATGACTGAGGAGTCCAGAACAATGTGTCACAGTCTAAAGACAGAGAGGAGAAATTTCTTCACCCACTGAGTGATGAGCCTGTGGAATTCTCTGTCACAGAAAACAGTTGAGGCCAAAACATTGAATGTTTACAAGAAGGGGATAGATGTATATATTAGGGCTAAAGAGATCAAAGGATACGGGGAGAAAGCAGGAACAGAGTACTGAGTTGGAAGATCAGCCATGATCATATTGAATGGTGGAGCAGGCTGGAAGGGCCAAACGGCCTACTACTGCTCCTGTATTCTATATCTCTATGTTTGAAAACAGGAAACGTTTCACAGGCACACATACAAACATACACAGTGAGATCAAATAGTCTCTTTATCCTTTCCAATTCTGTCTAACTTATATGGCATTTAAAAAAAAAACTAATTACGAACAATTTCAAAATGTCCTCGTTTTTGTTAAGATGGAGTCCAAAAGTCCAAAACTAGAGTTAGTAATCAGGATTCCCTCTACAGGGATTGTTGATGGGCTACACAGCAGTTGAGTGATAAACAGTTTTTTCTTTCAAATGTCATCTGAGAAGTTTTTGCCAAAATGTAACTTTCGCTTCACAGTTTTGATGAAAAAAAAATCACAGAGTGCAAATACAGATCACTGGCAGCCTTTTAACAGGCCAGAGGTGTTTTCTTTGTAGCCCAGAGATAGGCAATTGACTATTAATAATAGATGTTGTATGGAGCAATGCTGACCTCTTAAAACCGCTGGCTATTCTAAAGTTGTATAGTTAAAAGGCAGTTGTAACATTACAGTGGGAGTCAGGAGATCAGGTCTTGTGGGTTAGAGAAGTAGTTACCAAAAGACACTAGCCAACAGATAGCCAACTGTCAATGTCCCATTCCAGGGATCAAACAGAAAGTCATTGACACATCTTCCAGCGGATGGATCTACCTCCTAATGCTATGTATAAGGATTAATGCTGTTTCAGGTTCACTCACCAAAATTGGTTGATGTTCAGCACAGCCAGTGCCAGTCCTGATTGATCCTTGGGTCATCATTGCTAGCTTGAGTTTTGTTGAAAAAAAGCATTCCCAAACACTTCAGTCATGTTCTCATGAATATATTTGTAAGAATACTAAAGTAACATGGAAGAACATTTTATGTTGTATGTGAAAACAGGTCCTTTTTGTCCCCATTTGTCACTCAGAAAATTGGTGCAAGGAAGAAGACAAAATTCAACCTCAAATTATTGAATTTTCTGAGGAAACTATAAATCTCTCCCCGCTGCATAATTGAGAAAAGGTTTTTTTTAATCTATACTTTTTTTCATCAGTTGGTAAGGTTCAGTGGTGGAAAGGGATCATAGAAGGAAAGAACATGTATTTACTTATCACCTTTCATATTTTAAACATGTCAAGCCACTGTACAATTAATAATTTTTAAATATAGTCGCTGTTGCTATTGAAGCAAACGTGACAACTATTTTGCACGGAGTAAAGTTCCACAAATAGCAAATGCTTTCAGCAATTTTCATTGAGGGATATGTCTCGAATGCACATCTTCATATCTACTTTCATTTCTTCACATCATGGAATGGGATCTTCTTTTAAAGCAACTCAAGCAGGCAGACAGGGTACAGCATTTGATTAAAGCCATAAGTTCTCTACATCGTTCTGTATTAATGTTCCTCTAATGTACCAAAAACTACTGACAATTAAATAGCACAGCCCTGAATTTACCCGAGTGTTGTCCCCATATCCCACCATATTTCTGTAGAGGAGTGTTCTGACTAGAATAATGCACATAATCAATATGTTAATGGTTACTTTGCACCATGGAGAAGTACTTCCACTTCAATTGTTTGAAGTCAGGATCCAGAAAAGTGGAAGAAATCGAGGGAAATGAAGAAGGTATTGATGGTCAAGTCGTCACATCTATGCACAATGCTAGGATCTAATTCAAACGAAAACTGTAAAATGCTGACCTAAGGAAAAATTCAGAAAACTATGAAAAATAAAGATCCAAAATAAGGCCATATTAATAGGGTACAGCAAAGAATGAATGAATGAATGTGCTATTGTTCATTCCGATCATCTTCCGTCTGACTAGCTGTGTTACTCTATAGCTTTACAGCCAAGTCTTTGTTACATTTAACAAATGTGTCATGACATTACAATATTTAAAACAATACAAATATCAAACTCCAGTTACAATTCTGTCAGTGAAAGCTTTGTTTCCTGCCAGCTCTGGTTCTCTTTATGAAGTTTATATAAAACACGTTGCTCTTGTTATTGCCTTATCTATTATTAGATTTTTATCTTCCTTTGCATTCTGTCACCAGGTTTAGTAATAGGTGCAATTTAATTCTATCTCTGACAAATTGTTTCTGAATTTACTTGAATCTTTCCAAATTCCAGCAGCTCACTGCATATTTTATCTGCTTATTGAGCACTTTATCCTAAACAAAATAGAATTCTCTACTTCAGATCAATAGAAATGAGATAAAAAAGAAACTGGTATATTTATTTTACAACTGCAGTGAGTGCAATCCAAGTTGGTGGAATTGAAGTTTCGTCTGTCTTAAAATTGCAAGAATACAATATTAGTTGTGAGCTGTGTCTCAGTTGGTAACCTTTTCCATTTGGAGAGGGCAGGCTGTGAATTTGAGCCCTAACTGCTGAGATAACAGGAAACCCATGCTGACACTCTAGTGCAATACTGAGGGAGCATTGTTTTGTCAGAGGTATCAATGCTCAGTGAAAAGTTAAACTGAGGACCTATTTACACATTTGGCTTGTTTTATGTATTTGTTCACTTGACTTGGGTGTTAATGCATAGTGTAGTGATTGTAACAAGATCAGCCAGGCGGAAAACATAGAATATGAGTTCCTTGGTTGGGCTGTTAACCTGGTCCAATCAGGGAGTCCTAGCTGACAGATATAAACAGGAGTGTCCCAGGTTCTGCTCAATCTGACAGCTGGCTCTAAGGAAGCCAGACTAATGTCAAGTACTATGCATGTGTAAATAAAGAGTGACTTGGTGACTGAATACCAGCCTCTGGGGAGTTATTTCACCTAGACCAGCATTTATCACCCAACCCTAATTGCCCTTGAGAGGTTAGTAGTGATTTGTCTTCTTGAACTGCTGCAGTCCATGTGGTGTATATACCCACAGTGCTGAAAGAAAGAGTGTTCCAGAAGTTTGACACAGTGATGCTGAAGCAGTAGCAACATGCTGCAAGTCAAGATATTGTGTAACTTTAAGTGGAATTTACAGCTGGTATTGTTCCAACGCATCTCTATCATTGTCCCTCAAGAAGATAGAGATCATGGGTTTGGATGGTGGTGCTGAAGAGGCCTTGATGAGCTGGGCATAAAAGATCCTAGAGTACTCGTTCAACGAAAAGCATTAGTGTATTTATTATCTACTGTTAAATGCTCATAGTTATCCCTTAAACACAATAAATTAATAAATTAACCTGGTTATTAATTGGTTAACACATTTCCGACAATAGAGAGAACACTTTAAAATACTTCATTGGCTGTAAAATTCTTTGGGACATTCTCAGATTATAAAACAGTGATATATGTATAGACAGAAGTATGTTTTTTTTAGTACAACATTTGTCGTCTGATGAATCCTGTTCTTATGGAATGTTGGCCAACAAAACTACCCTGAAGTTGTAATGATTCATACATTGATTAGTATGGGAAAGGGGAGAAATTATCTCTTAGAATTGAGTAGGGATAGTCTTTCAAAATAGAAGCTAAAGGTTATGCCTAGGCCCAAGCAAGAAGTGTTTTCAAATAAACATGTTGGACTATAACCTGGTGTCGTGTGATTTCTGACTTGGTCCACCCAGTCCAACACCAGCACCTCCACATCATTTCACTTCTGAGGAAGGATCACCAGACCCAAAATGTTAACTCTGATTTCTCTTTGCAAATGCTACCAGGCCTGCTGAGCTTTTCTAGTAACTTCTGTCTTTGTTAGACGTTTCACTTTGTAGTGCTAGGCTTGATATATTTAAAACATAGACTGAAAATGGCATAAAGACACAGCAATCTGCATCTGTGGAGAGAACAGATAAGTAAGGAGCTTGAACTTTGTTGTCACATTGAAATGCTGGCAGCCATCTCTGACCTTGAAAAAAGCTACCCACAATGATCAATGTGGCAAGAATTTCACTTTCTCTGACAGCAGTTTCACTCTGGCTTCAGGTATAGATGACCTCCGATGTCCAGCAACACTCATTTCATCAAGTGAACTGAGCAATCAATCACGTTGAAGAATTCTCAGAGATAGCAAACCAGGGACTAGCAAGCAAGTTCTCTCATTCACATTTTATAACCTTACCGAAAGCAAACTAAAGATTAAGGCATGTATATTGGATTATGTAAAAATTGAAATTTTCTATTTGGTTTCAAATTTCAAGATAAAATAAACACCTTTTATTAATTTTTAAAATCTTGACATTTTACCATGGTATGAAGGAATTTGAGATTCAATAAATATAAAAGCAGTTTTCAGGGAGAGACTGTTCTGAAGTAATTATGACATTATGCATCATTACAATCAAGTTAAACTTCATTCAATAAGGCATAATGGTTTCAAGAGTTCTTACAGTGGGCATGAGATGATAAAAGTAGAAATCTTCACCCCACCCCACACAACATGTTTAATTTAATAATTTCTAGATATTTCTAACTGCAAGAGCTTCAACAGTGAACTTTGCGGAGGAACAGGGAGTCATTGATAGCAACTTGTGGATTTCCATACTTAACAAAGCCTGTTGGCATTAGTTTCACAAAGTGATGAAGTTGAATGCCAACATTTCACCAACATTGCAATCATTTAGTTTATCCACAGCATTACCAAAAATGCGTCCGTAAATGAAAATATTAACATGTTACCCTTCTTACAGCTTATAGAGGGCACAAGGTGAGGAAGGACATTGCTACTGAAAAACAGAAGCTATTACAGACCATCATTAAAATCCAAGCTGGTAAGAACTTTTACAAAACATATAGACATGTGCATTGTATTTATGATCAGTTATTATCTAGAATCATAGAATCCCTACAGTGCAGAAAGAGGCCATTTGGTGCACTGAGTCTTTAGTGACCCTCTGAAGAGCATCCCTCCCAGACCTACCACCCCATCCTATCCCCAAAAACCCACATTTCCCGTGGCTTATCCACCTAACCTGCACACCCCTGGACATGACAGTGCAATTTTCCATGGCCAATCCATCTAACCTGCACACCTTTGGAATGTGGAAGGAGACTGGAGCAACCAGTGGAAACCCATGCAGGCATGGGGAAAATGTGCAAACTCCACACAGGCAATTGCCTAAGGCTGGAATTGAATCTGAATCCCTGGTGCTATGTAGCAGCAGTGTTAACCACTGTACCAAAATGCCACCCTATTGGTATATAAAGCTAAAATAGTAAATGCCCACAACTTGTGAATGAATAAAAAAACCTTCTGCCATGGTTCTTTAATTGGTCTGAGGAGTAACTGGTAGCCCTTTACAGAGGAACTCAAGACGGGCTGGCCTATCAAGTGTCTGGCAGCTTGCTTCTCTAGCAGCACCACTGGAATAAGTGGCCACTTCTAGCTCTAAACCAAGCCCCTGAAGGAGAGGCAGGCCCTGGTGAGAGGTGTTGAGGGTCTAGATTGGACAGGAGATGTTGGCAGGAGAAAAGTGAGGGTGGCGAACCTTGGGGTTGAGGAGGGGGATCCAATTAGCACTGGTTGCCCAAGCAAGAGACACCCTCACTGATACAACCACCTGACCACCAGCCTTTACTAGGTGGACTGGCTACCTGACATTGGGCTTTCATATTGCAGGGGAAAAAAAAATCACAGCAGTATGAGGATGCTCTTAAGGGACCATTAATTGGTCCCTTAAGAGTATCAACTTGCTACTGACCCCTCCTGCACTTGGGTAAAATACCTGTAGAGGTGAGGAGGCAATAGGAATGATGCCACTGTCATTGTTGCCCAAATTATTGCCTCAGCCTGCCTACAATCTCGCCCTTAGGGGACCATGGAATTCAGCCAACTGAGACCAAGGAAGTTGCAAGACAATGGGGACAATTCTGCAATAGGACATTGAGCTCTGCAGTATACAAGGGACACAGTACAATAGGGGACACAAGTCAATTGGGTATTCTGAGTAATATGTTAGCTTCCTAGTAGTAGTAGCTAAAATTAAGGATGTTCTTGAACTTGAATTGTCCTCACGTTCTGTAGAACACCTTGGAATTCACAGTAAATTAGAGTTCATTGCAAAAGGCAACAAAAATTTAATATAGTTTAAAATGAAAATAAAGAAGGATGTGCCTTACTTTTGCATTATGTAATGATTAAATGAATAATTACAATTTGTTCATCTTAGCTGCAAGAGGATACCTGTGCAGAAAAGAATACAAAGAGATGATGGAGGAAAAGAGAAATGCTGCAGTTAAAATCCAGGCTCACTACAGAGGCTATGTGGACAGGAGGAACATCAACATGAAAATGCAAGTCCTGTTAGAAAATAGAACCAAACCAGCAAGGGCTAGGGAGTTTGATTTTGTGCAATAGTGTAAAACTATTTTTGATCCCTCCTGGCTGACATCACTGGAAGTAAAACCTGCCCAGACGGAAGACATACAACCAATTTGCTGTCAGCTGGTTTACAGCATCTCGTGAGGTCAAAATTGGACCTGCTAGAAAGTTAAAAAACCGTTTCAGACACAGTGACATTGAAAGGCAGAGTGAATGTAGAACAATTTACATGTCAATTAGTTGTTGACAGCATTTGCATCCTGAGTGCATTTCATTTTTAGAATAATTTATGCTTTTTGATACTTTATCAATGCTGGGGTGTCTGCTTTAATTATTTATTTTCCACTTTATTTCTGAATCATCCATTAGTGACTTAGTGACAGCTCAGTTTCTTCACATGATTAATTGTAGATTCTGTAAAGAAATAAACCAACATTCTCACACCAGGGGTGTTTGAAATTACACCAGCTTACAGGCAGGTAGTTGTGGGTAACTGAATCACGTGCCCACTTTACCCAATTATGACCAGCTGATTAATTGTGGCACTTTCAGTCAGGAATGTTTCCTGCAAAGCCTACTGACTGTGCAAATTGGGAAATCATAGGTGTATCACCAACATTTTTTCAATGCTTGAATTTCATGAATGGTAAATCTTGAGTAACAGCATGCAATTTCCTATTTTGGGTCAGCTGAGTGTAAAAATTCCCAACAACAATATAGAATTAGAGGCTCTTTCATTTAAACCACGAAAAAAACATACAGACTAACAGCAATTTCACCGATAAATATGTTTATTTATAAAATATTAAGTCTTGGTGTACCCAGTGTGTGGTTCCAGCTTAACATGCTTCATGTGTCACCATTTTGACCTGCCTATTTGTTAGGCTATAGACGTTCATATTTCCTATTTATTTCAATGGTGTCAATTCAGAAATCCTATTGATTCTCCTGTTTAGCTGGTATGCTACATGCTAATCTTTGTTCCTGTGGTTGTGCTATTGACTGGAGTTGATTTCATGATACTATCAACCCCTGACTCCCAGCCTTGTTGTGCCTCTTAAGATTTTGCTCGAACAACAATTCTCATCAGGTGTATTTCTCATATGTTACTGATTCATTTCTTGAGATGTTCTCCTCTTTCATCTACTCTCGTGCTTTGTGTTGCTTATCATGGTACTTCTGCTTCTGTTTATTTTCATTCCTGGTCCATTTTTAGAAAACTCATTGTCCTATTTTTATTTATGTGTAAAAGCTGCTAACAAAAATGGCCACGTACCTGTTTCTCTAAATGGCTAAATTATGAACACTTGGCTGAGCTTCAAGATTTACTAATGGATTAACTCAGCTAGAGTCTGTTTCTGCAACTGTGCTGCAGTGTTTGCTTTGATTGACATCTTTGAGGTTATAAAACTTTTTAATCTCAGTATAAGAAGTTGCAAATTTAGGACAGAGATAAGGAAGACTATTTTTCCCCCTCAAATGGTTGTGAATCTGTGCAATTCTTTAGGATAAATGTTGAGAGAATTTTTCTCCTCATGGGGGAATTTAGAACAAGGGGCTAAAAACAAAGTAAAGGGTCTGACATTTAAGGATGAGGCAAGGAGGAATTTCTTCCCTTAGAGTGCCATTAGTGTTGGAATCCTGTTGACCAGTGAGCAGTGGATGCTGCATCATTTAATATATTCCAGGTTGCTTTAGACAGATTTTGACAAGGAAGTCAAGGGAAGGTGGTGGTTAGGAGTGGATGGGGTAGTGGGTGCGGGCAAGAAAGTAGAGTTACAGCCACAGTCAGATCAGCCATGATCTTATTGAGTGGCAGACCAAGGAAAAAGGGGTAGAATATCCTACACCTGTTCTTGTTTCTTATTTCCTAATGGAGCTCATGCACTGGTGTCAACAAGGCAAAGCTATTACTTCAAATATAATTTTTTTTACTGCGACAAGACAAACATGCTTGACAATTGCTTAAATAATTGCCATTGAATTACAAGACTTACTTTTCCTTTAATATAGAGGGTATGACACCAATATCTCTGATCAAGAAAGGAACATAGTAGAGGGTGACAGAATCAAGAACAATCAAGCATCCAATAAAGGCATTAAAGACAAACTTGGGGAAAATATGGAAAGAACAACATTAGGCCATGCCACAACCATGTCGGATGTGAAAGGTGAAGAAGGCAGAGGTCCAAAAGTTATTCATGGCAACCAAGAAAAAAAACAAAGGGAGGAAGATGACACTAAAGCTGCGATTGTTATTCAAAGCAATTATCGAGGTCACCGGGAAAGAAAAAAACAACAAGAGAACAAGGTGCCTGTTAAAACAAAAGAAATCAAAGCGTTAAACAAAGGAATTCAGAAACCACACTTTGTAGCTAATGGGGATCCAAATGAAGAACCACGTGCCACAGGTATTCACAGCAAGACCAGAGAACATAAAAACCAAAAGGAGAAGGGGAAATTAGATGGCCGTGGAGACTTGACAATCCAAGACAAATCCACAACAATCAGTTCAAAGGAGGATGAAGAACATGCAGCAGTCAAAATTCAAAGCAATTACAGGGGCTTTAAGGAAAGAAAACAAATTCAAGAGAATACTAAGAGAGAAGGGGAAATGTTTGCTACCTTTTCAAAGCAGGTGGGTGACATAAGGGATCTGCACATTTTCATTTGTGGGATATTAAATTTCAAAGCCTAGCTTTCAAAATTAACAATGAAATACAGTGTTACTATTGACACAACCATGCCTGTGTCTTGTAAAAAGCACGACTGAGATCAACACATTTAAATGGACAAATCTCTAACCTCTTCTTATTAACTCCTTATCAAGGAATTGTCTCTGGTTTATTGTCTAGTCTGTGCCTAGAATTGAATATGCCTAATTTTCGTGCTCAACCATCTTCTCTTTATCAATCAATCAATCTAGATTGAAGTAGTATTTGCTGAATGAATGCATTAACCCCATCTTGCTAAGTGGTCAATGAAGAAACCAGGCAATGACTCATAAATAATTACTTATTAACCTTAAAATCAAAAATAGCAAAAGCTGAACTCAAAAGTTGGATATGAAAATCACTTGAGACAACTGATAACACAACTAATGAAGTAAACAATAAAACTTACTAAAACAATTTGGATGTTTCACTATCATTTAATTGTAACTGCTCCTTATAAATTAATGGTTAAGATCACATTAACATTGATCCAGGTTAGAGATTAAGTTAGTATTAAGCTCTTTAAACAAATGAAAAGCTTACATTATAAGATAGCCAGTCTATGCATTTGCTTGTTGGTTTAAAAAAAAGTTTCCAGACCTTTTACAGATTAATCCTCATGAGCTAGAATTGCTTACATCAATGTTGACTCGTCTTCCTCTGGGGGGAGAAATTTTCGGGTCAGTGAGAATTTGTGGAGGTAAACAGGTCAATGGCCTGTTGTCAGAACGGAATTCTTCAGATTTCTTCTTCTTGTCCTCAAAAGTGAAGTAAAACCAGTGAAACACTCAACACTTATTTTAAGCTCACATTCTGTATTATTTTGGCACATTACTTTTAAATATTCAATACTTTGGGAACTATGAAGTTTCAAAAGGTTAATTGAGTATAAATCCCTATAATTATTCATCCCCATATTTCTTCCATGCACTAGTATTATTTACAACCGAATATTTATACAAGTCTTCCTTTCATAATGTCAGGAGGCAGTTTAAATAATGGCATACAATTGAATCATTCACTTCAAAGTGATTAGTTTTCCTTTCTAACTGATGTTTATGTGAAATGACACACCAGCTTTTTTTTAATCTGATAAATGTTACTGTTCATTAATGACAGATAACAAAACGTTCTGAGGAATTCTTGATGGCTCAGAAGAAGCTGAATGAGGTTCTTGGCTCACAATATCTAACATTTAAAAACCAGAATCCACCACCTGAGAAAAAACCACCTGAGGAAAAACCACCAAATCAGAAATCTTCATCACCAGGTTGGTCTACAGTTGCTATTTACTTTAACATTCCAAAATAATAGGACATTTCATGGGAAATCAGCCTGAGAAGAAACATTAGGAGCCAAACTTTCACTACTAAAGTTGACAGCTCAAGTCAGACCTGACAGGAAGCAGATGATATGTAGCACAGGATTAGGTGAGTGCAGAGGCAGGCTTGTTAGAAAGTTCACTCAGTTCCTCAGGACTTAGTCCCCACTGTGATAGGTTCTTTAAGCCTTTGTCTCTTATGGCCAATCATATTGCTATCACTACTGTTTCCATGTTAACTCATGATCCCATTCTAACTACCCATTCCAGCTTCATAGCCAAATACCAGTATCTACTTTAGACAGATGTCAGGAGACACATGGAGATGAAACAAATTAAAATTGTGACAGGTATTATGGGCCAGACCAGACCCCACCCCCCAATATAAATATCTTGAAAAGGTAGCCTAGACCCTAACTTTTTCTTATTTTTAAAGATAAATGTGAGGTGCTGCATTTCAGATGCAATTTGGTTGGTAAAACTACTTAACTTTAAGCAAAACACAATTTATTCAAACACTATAGTTAAAATACAATGAAAGAAAAAGAAATTTGGAATAACTTAACTCGACTGGAAAACTTAACAGTAACTTATCTTTACTACTAAACATAACTGTTCTAATATAGTAACATTCCATAAACACACTCTAGGCAAAAGGCAAAAATCAGAAAACAGATTGTCTCACATGCAGTTCTCCAATTGAGGAGGAAAGAATATCAAAAGGCAATTCTGAGAGAGAGAGAACTCTAGCTTTCAGCATTGGCCAAGAGAGATGTGGCAGCTTTTCACAATCCCAGCAGCTTCTGCAACTGAAAAGACTAAAAGTCCTGGTTCTGTGGGTGGGAGCTTGACCACACCCATTTAGGCTGCTTCTAATGTTCCAACTTTTTAAAAAAAGACCAAGGCTTCACAAATTATCTTCTGCTAGACTGCTTTGTGCCTGTTACCCAATCCCTCTCTAAAACAAACCAAGACAGAACACAACTCTGAAAGGCACAGTATCATCACACAATCTAATAAAGCTCTTACTTAACTCACATTTGACAGTGGAAAATATGAAACCCATTCAAAATATTTAAATCTCCTCAGTGATTGATCTCTTTTAAAGCAAACTTCTATTTAATACTTCTAACACATAAACATGCATGGTTACATTATAATAGCCCCTGAGAAATGTCAACAAAGACCAAATTGCAACTCTGCATCAGTAGGTAATGTTTATACCCAATATGTCAATGAAAGAAGTCAAACAATTTTTTTTAGCTCACCCTGATAGTTTCAGTCTTTTTTTCACATTTAAAAAGCATGAGATTTCAAAATAACTTCAGATCATGACATTTATACAGATCTTATTCATTCTTCAAGAGCATTTATGTCTACTCAGTTAATTCATGACTATCACATTATGGGTTAAGGCCTTTGGAACAGCCAAAATACCTCCTTGAACACAGCACTGAGTTATAATGGTCCTGCTGAGTTTGCGTTTATGTGGCGTGTGAATTGTACTTCAATCTATTTCTCTTGCTGGCAAAAAATGGGATTTTTCAGAAATCAGGGCATGACTACCATATTTGACATGTGCCCTCCACTTTCAAATTCTGCAAAGTTTTTCTGACTCTACAAAAATCTTAACTTTCACTTTTTTGACGATTTTCCTAAATTAGAATATGCAAAGATGCTTTATAAGAGTTGAGGTGAATGGTCAAAGTCAGTAATCTAAGCAAGAAAAGGGAGAGGAATTAGTGGAACTAGCTGACGGTGAGAAACAATAGATTTGGAAAAAGATTTTGGAGGATGGTGAGAGTGGGAGTGAAACAGAGAGTTATCCAGGCCTGGAAGTTCCAAACTGCATGCTTACTTGTAGAATAAAGGAAGTAGGGTATACAAAAAGGAGCTGTTGGAAGTGTATAAAGTGCATACAGGGCCATGTGATTCCAGTAAATTGCAAAGCTGGGAACCAACAAGATAACTGAGAGATATGAATTCTGGTAAAGAGATTTGGTAATTGAATATAATGATTAGACATTGTGGAAAAGATAACTGCCAAATATAGAATTTGGAAATAGGAAGTACTGTTAATGTTTTTGAAACAAGAAATATTTCTTTCAGGATTTTTTAATGTCTCGAAATAAAAAGTGGCAAAATAGACAAAAAGAAGTTGTTTTCTTCTTTAAAAAAAACATAATAAGCACTTGAACTTGAGTGGGTTACTGGGGACCACTTTACATCCTGTCATACTCATTAATCCCTGAAACAGAAAAAAAATGCTCTAAATACTGAACAGGTCAAACTACAGCTATGGAATGAGAAACAGAGTTAAAAGGCATAAATTCAGTGGAATAGACTTGAAAGTGCCACTCCAGAAAGCTGTCTGTAATTGCAATGGGGTGTTGAAGTGCTCTTTAACTCAGGTATGCCATTAACATCTCACTTCTGTGTTTATTGGTCTATGAGAGTGATGCTGATATAACATGTAAAGTCTGCCAAAGGAAGGATTTTTAGTTAAAGGGTCATAATGGCTGAATTGTACATTGATTCCTATGGCTTCAGGAATGTAAAGGAGACCTGAGAAAGCTTCCCACCTTCCCAGTCTCTAACTCTTACCCAGATGTCCAGCTGTGGGATCTGAGAGACAAAAATGAAGTGATGTTTGCAAGCGTATGTGGAAGACGATAGCTTTGCAAACAGACGTTGATAGACGCGGCCAAAGAAGTGTGGAACCTCATTGTGCACCCTTCTCAAGGGCAATGAAGGATGAGCAATAAATGCTGGCTGAATCAGCCTGTGTATGAATAGAACAACAGAGCCAGGAGACAGTGCCCCAGAGATTTAAGGAGGATGGAAAACCTGAGCAGTATAACAACCAAGTTTCAAACTCCACACTTTTCCAGCATTCTTCTGCACAGCCCTCCTCAGATCAACACACATTACAGCTTCAGTTAGTCTTCAGCTCCCTCCGTGTACCCCCAGCTGATCAGAGTCGGGATATTGTGAGGCTAGTGCTGAGGGCTAGGTCCCACAAGTAACAGACCACTTTCCCAGCCATTGTCTACCCCGACTTCCATTTGGAAAAAGGTGTTGCTCAAGGATGCTGCTGATGTGAGTGATGACCTTCCTTGAAAGCCTGGCGCTCATGAGGTACTGGTGAGAGGGGGTTATTAATTGGGAGGAGGCAAAAATTCATAACTCTCAATTCTCTTACTCATTAAAAGTCTGTATATCTTGGCCTTGAATATACTTAATGACCCGCCCCTCAACAGCCCTCTGCAGTAGAGTTCCATTGATTTAGTAAAACCCTCCTTATCTCTTTCTTACATGTGCAACCCCTTATTCTATAACCAAAGGCTCATATCTTAGACTCTCTCACACTGTCAAATCCCTTCAGAATCTTGTTCTTCTGAGGAACTGATTTCTCTCCACAGAAGCTGCCAGACCTGCTGACCTTTTCCAGCAATTTCTGTTTTCGCTTCTTATTTCTGACCTCTGCAGTTCTTTCATTTTTTATTCCCCAAAGAATCTTCTTTGTTTCAATAAGTAACTCCCTGGATAGTGGCAGCACACCTACAAGAACAGTTGCCTGTGGTCACAAATAAACTGGGCATTGAGGAAGTGAAATCCCTTCCTGTTCAGGAACCTGGCTGGATGTTATCAGGGTATTCTGAGCAACACTTGTGCACAGTTCATGGCCCTTTGTATTTGAGATCCTCGGTTTGACCTGATAGAGGATTTTTGGATTGCTGGCAGAGGAAAGCTGGTAGAGAATGGCACCTCTGAAATGCCCTAAGATGACATTTCTCTCTTGGGGCACCATGATAGTGTCCCTATCACTAGACTATGAGGTCTGTGTCCAAGTCCCACCTGCTCCAGGGTGTGCAATAATATCTCTGAACAGGTTGATCAGAAAAATAGGTTAAATTTTTAAAAAATGACAATCCCTGTCTGTCACTCCTCCTCCCTGACAGAGCAAACTGGCACCTCCCTTGTCCTTTGAGGGATGGTGCATCTGAAGTCAAGGTTCCTCAGACTCCTGTCACCAAACCAGTGAATGAATTCATCCATGGCTTGAAGTCCCTGCACATATCCAACTAATACTGGTAGCTTTGTCAGACCTGGCACTCATGCCCATTGCCTCCCACTCCATGGAGGTATCAGTTGAGCAGTTAGTGGAGATGGGCCTTGGAGTGGGACCTTTTGGTTTTGCCTGGTGTGTGCAGGGTATTTGAAGACTGCATGGAAGAACAGAGATTCACTTGTGCCATGAGTCACTGCCTCTCCTAAGGATTCATGGAGATACCAATGCTTGATCTGCAGCTGGGAATAGAAGATTGGAGGCTTTCACACCAGATGGCTGCAAATTTTTAATCTCCCCTTCACCGGCAAATTCCCCCTGCTCTCCTTCCAGCTCAATGGCCTGCTCCTTAGATCGGTCAGGAGCCTCTGGTCAGGATAAATTCATTTTTAATATGTCTGTTAGGAGGGATGCGTTAAGATACATCAGCAAGAGGAAATGAGTACTAAAGCTATATTGATAAATACGGGTAGAGATGTCAGTTCCCCAAGCTGTGATTGTCCATATGTGTTACTCACAAGAGGAATGTAATATGGGGAAAGTTAGATGTCCACGGGTTCTGAATGAAAAGAGGTTCAGCATCATCAAAGAGCAACAGTTTACATGTAGCCATAAAGCATTATATGCTGTGTGTGCTTCAGATGCCAGTAAGCTGTTCATTCTAAAGCCATCTTCTGTGGAGCATTCTTCTCTGTTGAACACCTTACAAGCTCTCTGATGTATGCGATCTCCCAATAATAATGAAAGTCAGTGGGTTGGTACTTGAATACTTTAGCTCCCTTTTAGTTTGTGTGAATCCAGGCAGGCATGTGAGAGGCAGTGTCACAATGGTAATAGTAATGCTAATTTACTAGCTGCAGTGAAGAGACAGGCATTGATA